CACATTCACAGGGGAAGTTGTTTGCTAGCTCTAGGATAATTTCTAGAGATCAAAGCCCCGGGAAGGAAATCCTCCCCTCCATCAGTAAGGCCACCAAGATATCAAAGCATCATAAAATATGCAAAATAAAAACCATGATTAATAAATTTCTAACCTAATTTAGATATTATGACTGTTCATTTCCCAATTAAAATTTCCAGATGAAATATATAAACCATATCTGTGTGTGTGAATTTTTGTAAAGTTTAATGCAGGAAGATGGGCAGAGCCTGAAATTTGGAGTTAAGAAGCTGAGTTTATGCACTGACCCTTCCCATTTCCAGTTGGATGCTCTTAGCCAATTCATTTAACCTCCCTGAACACCAAGTTCATCATCCCTAAAGCAGGGATGACAGTAATATTTCCCAGATGAGTTTATTGGGAGAAATAGATTAATCTAAATGTGATTATATTTGTCAAAGTGTTTTATAACTGCAAGGCACCTCATAATGTTTAAGTTTCACTCTTAATGCAGTATACTGCAGGGACTTTTTTCAGAATAAGAATTCAGGTTTTTTGTTGCTGTTATAATTGTAGAAATGTTCAAAGGTGTGATTAGAGAGGGAACAATAAAAATTTATTAAGGAAAAGAATAAAAATTCACTGTCTTGTTATTACAGAGAATGAAATTTTGGACTTAAAAGATACTTTCCACTGATGTACTCCAAACAGCTTTGAAACGTTTATTTATTTTCATAATTTTTTTTAAAATTTTCATAATATTTTGAAGTCAGTTAGGTTAAAGTTGTCATCATTTACTCTCTGAAAGGGAAATAAACACAGAGCAAGTTATGTAACGGCTTTCAATTTTGCCATGTATTGCTTAGACTGGTGTGGCACTGCTCCCTACAGTAAACAAGCGCCTTCTTTTGCTGGAATCAGCTAAGATGGTGGTTTAGTGGTGGTGGTTTAGTCGCTAAGTCATGTCTGATTCTTTGCGACCCCATGGACTGTAGCCTGCCAGGCTCCTCTGTCCATGGGATTCTCCAGGCAGGAATACTGAAGTGGGTTGCCATTTCCCTCTCCAGGGGATCTTCCCAATCCAGGGATTGAACCCTGGTCCCTCTGGCAGGCAGATTCTTTACTGACTGAGCCTCCAGGGAAGCATTGGAGGCTTGGTTTTATCAAAATGCTTGCTGAATCAAGCAATTAAAAGAGAAAGTCATTGAATAATCACTAGAAAATCATTTCTGGCAAATAGGCCACATCAAGTGCCTCTAAGATATAGACATTGGTTTTACTTAAGGAAATTAAAAATCTGTGTCCTTTCCTGAGGTCCCAGAGGTACCATTTTTGTCTCTTCTGGGCCATTCTTCCCTCTGCTTCTATCTTGTCTTCACCTTCCTTTTCTCCCTAAAATTTCAGGTGATTTAAGACTAAATCCCAGGACTAAATCCAAAGCACCTTTCTTGGCTTGCAGAATCTTTATTTTCGGACTCTGAAACACCTTCTTCTGCTGCCAACTGCCTTACATTTAAGCCTCATTAAGTTTTCTGACAGTCAGACTCAAGCTAGACCTTTTCACTGACCTACCATGACACTCAACATTAATCCACCTAAAAAAAAAATATGGGGAGGTTGAAGAAAGGAAGAGAAGGCTCCACTTGTGTTTGGAGGATTTTTTGTTTGGTTGGTTGGTTGGGTTTTTGTTTTGGGTTTTTTGGGTTTTTTTTGCCACAATGTGTGGCTTCTGGGATTTTAGCTTCCCAGCCAGGGATTGAACCTGGGTCTTCCACAATAAGAGTGTGGATTCCTAACCACTGGACCACTAGGGAATTCCCTACACTTATTAATATAGTTGTTGCTCAGTATCCTTGGGGGATAGATTCCAGCACCCTCTTGAATACCAAAACCTGTGGATTCTCACCTCTCTTCTATAAAATGGTGTAATATTTCCATATAACCTATGTGCATCCTTC